GAACATGCTAATGTGCAAATATAAGGTTTTAATCTCTTCCTTGTTCTGTTTTTAATGCAAAAACTACAGCAGTGTTTCGCTTCAGAAAAACTCATCTATTAACAATTGCATCAACCCAGCAACAAGGAAAGCATGCTTCAATTTCTAAAGGAGGGAAAGAGAAGAAGAAGAAATTACCAAAGGAGAATTTTTGAAAAGATCCTGAGGACATCTAGGGCGCAATTGAGATTGTGCAATATCAACCGCCAAGGAATACTCATGCATTTTAAAAGTAAGAGTAGGGCCTTGAGGGGTCTTTGCCACCCTAAGGAAAGGTGAAGTTTCGGTTTTTGATAAAATGAGGAAATGGGTTACACCCATTGGCCCTGCAACATTCAAAAAGTCTTTCAGAGTGTTCCGCTTCTTCTCCTGCAACCATAAAAACACCAACAAAACAAAAGTTAATTAAGAAGAAAAACTTACTGCTACAAGACCACAAAGTACAGGGAAAAAAAATAGAAAAGGGGGCGGAATTACCTTAAGTTTGAGAGAAGTGTAAGGAAGCATCAGCTTTCTCAAGTCCATTTGAAGTTGCCTAAGCGGACCAGGCAGCTTCCCTCTTGAAAACACAAAACTCTTCGGGATTTTATTCCCTGTGATTGGGTCCACATTGGGTTGTTGCTGCTGCTGCTTCTTCACAATTGGCTTCACGAAAACCTTCTTCTTTCCCTGTTTTTTGATTTAGATATCAGAAAAACGATTAAACCAATACAAACCCAGAAACAAATAAAAAAGAAACAAAGTAATTTAAATATACAAAAATAAAAATTCATAGCCGAATAAAATGTTTTTGGGCTTGAAAAGAGTTGAGTAAAGGTAAAAAAACAGAGGCAGTGCTATTACTTACGCTACGGAAACGAGCCATGGCGCAGGCTCTACGGGAGGACGGAGATGCCGCAGACCGCTGGTTTAACGAGGGCCGTGGATTACAAAGAGGCGCAGGGTTTAGTCAGCTGCGTTCTGAAAGAGAAGAAGGGCACTTTTGGTAACAAAAAAACATTAAATTATGCTTTTTAGGGCAAATGACTTGGGCTGGCTTTTGGCCCATTTAATTCAGTTTGGTTTTTAATTGCCTTAAAGCCCAAATTTGAGTGTTAAGACCTTAATTATAGTTATCCACATGATTCGAGAATCTGTCAACAGTGATTTTTTTTTTGTTGTATTAAGACCCTGAAATTCTATATTATTCAAATTTTTATGAAAACCAATTGAATTACCCATGTATATATATAATTCATTATAAATTATGATCAGCACACATAATAATAATTTATACAAATTGGCCCTAAATATGTTCATATGATTGAATCGATCCCCTTCAAGCAATGGTTTTCAAATACATTTTCTAGCAGTATCACACATTTGCAGTTCATTTACCACATTTGGGATATATGATATGATGAAAGGCCTTGGCATGACCAGAAGCTTCAAAATCTTAGAAAGATTGCTAGCAAATGCTGCAGATTCAACTGCCAATTTGAATGACCAGAGGCCAGAGGGAGCAGTCCCGATAACTACATTCATGTGAATTGCATCATTGATTGGACAGGATCATGTGACTCGATCTACATAGGATGTGATCGCCCTCTCCTTTTAGGTAAAACAGTCTCTAGCTGAACCCAAAATTATGGCTGCTAAAAGTGTCTGCTTAACTGAGAACAGTCATTTATCAGCCCACCACGTACCTTGACTAGGGCTGCCTAACGGGTAACTTTCTTTCACTCATTCTTCCCTATCACCCATCTTCACTTCATTTGCTGTATTTTTGTCTTTGCCATTATACGAACTCAAAGATAACTACTGTGTGAACCTATGAAAATTATTTAACTTACCTGATTTGGACTCTGGACCGTTGGACGTAACCTCCTTTTTATAACCACAGACAATTTTCTGAAATCTCTAAGGATTTGATTTGATGGAGGAGTGATGGTTCCAAAAGGTAGTGGTCGTTGCTGTATGTGTTGTGATTTGATCTTTTGCAGACATTAACATTTCTCCTATTAAAGGGAAGATGCCTAACAGATCTAATCTCATCCAAATTCATGAGTAACTCGCCTGTCCTATCACATGTTCTTCTCTATCTTTAACCTATTTCATTTCGATACCCTTCTAAATTTATTGCATTCACCAGTCTCTCGCTTTTCCCACATCAAAAGTAGTGCCCAAATCAGCCAAAGAAACCCCTTATAAAGCTATTCCGTGTAAATTCAGAGAAATCATAGTTCATGAACAAAAGGTTCTTCCAGCTTTTTCCTAAAATCTGTAAGGTAGTTCAGGGAGGGAATACCCTACAATTCTGCTCTATTGTTTCACCTTCTTTTCAACACATTCGTTTCTTTCTTTTCTTTTCCCTCAAGTAATTCCTAGGTTCCTGGTAATGGCAAACGCCAATGTTTACCTGACATTCTTTCTTCTCCTATGCCTTCTCAAATCGGGTCGATCAGCACGAAACGTAGGAAACAATTATGTGCAAGAAGCATGTAGGGTAACCAGATACCGTGCCCTTTGTATCAACTCACTAGCATCATTTTCCAGCATTGCTAGGAGAAGTCCAAGCAAGTGGGCGCGAGCCGGCGTTTCGGTGACTTTAGGAGAAACCAAGAATGTTGCTCACTACTTAATGAAAGTGAAGAATTACAGGGAGATGACGGGGAGCTACAAAATTCCCCTCTCAGATTGCATGGAGTGCTTTCAAAATGCTATCGACCAGCTACACAGGTCACTTGGGGTGCTTAGGAAGCTAAGTGCCAGAAGATTTTATTCACAGATGGGGGACGTGACTACTTGGTTGAGTGCAGCACTTACTGATCAAGACACTTGCATGGATGGTTTTGAGAATCCAAGGGGAAGGCAGGCCAAAATGCTTCGGAATCGGGTTATGAGAGCCACATGTTTTACTAGTAATGCTTTGGCTTTGGTCAACAAACTTGCAACCTCGGGCTTGGACAGCTTAAATGATCCATGACGATTCTTGATGTAAAAAGAAGAGATTTGGATCAAAAGGTTAATGATTAACAAGACTATACAGTAACGAATTGCAGCTGAACAAAGGGTTCAGATGTTAATTCAGTGTAATAATAAAGTCAAGCAGCCAGGCATCAAAGAATATTTTGTGTCGATGCATCTATGTATGAATATTAATATCTTGTTCATGTAGTAGAGCCCGTGTTTTAAATTCTATCAACTCTTCTAAAATCTTTCCTTTTACTTTTCTTGCTCGGTCTTGTACTTTCGCTTTTAATCGGATGGATGACATGCAATCTCCCATTGGTTCAGCCAAAACAAAAAAACGGGGTTAAATCTACCATCTCGAGCAAGCAATCGTCCCAGGATATTGACTGATGCTGCCTTGCTATCATTTTCCCCCGTATGCTTCATAATGGAATGTGGCCACACTTTTTTTTCTTTTTTATTATAAGAGGCAGACCCTATCTTACAAATTTGAGGTGAAAACAGATGCCGCCTTGTAGTCAATTTTAAGCTTTCCTTTTCTTCTGTAATAAAATTTGAGCATGGTTTTTCTGCAAGTTCCAGCAGGGAAACTCGAACTCGGGCTTTCTGGAAAAATCAACCATGCTCAGACTCAAGGAGCGTTTGGACTGGGCTGCATCCTTCATGCCATCTAATCGAGCCCATCCAAACAGCACCCAAGGGAAATTTGCATCAGATTTTCCCTCGAAATGTATCTTATGCTAGGATTCTACAATGCACTTTATGTATTCTTTTACCACGTTATCCTCACTTTGTTGATTATAGATTAAACTTCTTAATAAACTAACAAGATCAACCCCAACAGAGATTTGCTTTGAACTATATCAGTTTCGCATGTCATCTTCAAATTTAAGAACTTTTCCTATGCAGTTATTCTTTATCAGCCAAAAGAGAAGTTATTTATTTTCCATTGTTTCATTTGAACGATGACAAAGATAACAAAATGGTAGAATCTTAAATCATCTTGACCTAATCCTGCTTAAATGTTAGAGCAACCAAGGTAAATTAGAATTGAATAGTTTACATAGTTAATTTGCCACTTGACACTTGATTCAATGTGGCCACAGACCTCAATTTGCCATAATTCGCTCCTTAGCAAGAAAAAATGTGCAAAGAAAAGTCATCATTAACTAATAGAGGCATTTGCCTCGACAGGGCCACGCGCTAAGAAAGGTAATTAAACATGTATTTAGGGAGAAAGAGGAAGTGATCAACTAGTCGAAGCCTTGTCCTATCCATGAATATTTGTTTTTTTTTTTTTTGTCCCAAGTTTTTTAAAGGGGACAAATACAGTGGCCACGTTAGAAAAAAAAATATGAAAGCTAACCACACAATTTACCATAAAAGGGACGAAAAATAAGCAACGAATTCAATAACTAAACATGCAATTAACTATCAAATCAGATCTGTTCAAATCCCATTTTTATTTCTTCACTATAAATACCCCACACAGTCCGGACATAGTATCCCCCAAACTACATCCATTCCCTGTGTAATATCCTTTGCCATCAATAAATAAAAAAGCACTGATTTCTCATTCACGTAGTATCTGGAGTTATTATATCGTTTAGCTGCTTGGACGTGCTATACGAAACCATAAAATATAAAGGAAACAAAAATTTAGAAATCATAACTCAAAAGGACAGAGAAAATCTTGATTACACGGTACAACCACCGAGGGAGGGAACCTTCTATGCCAATCACTTTGTCAGTCATTTACAAATAAATAAATAAAATAAAAGATGTTATATATAGAAGTGAAGGGGGGAATACAATAAGGTTTTGTACAAGACTATGTAGCTCAGTAGCTGCCATATGAACAATATAATTATATCAACAATGGAACCACTTGCAAAACAAAAATAAACATACATATAAATACAGTCTAAAAATCTTTATTCCAAAGATAGAAAAATGAAATAATACCTAATCCCATATTATTTTTACGTATCCCACCCGCCATGTATAGCCAACAACTGTTAACTCTCTATGCCTCAAACTCCTTTATTTAATTTCAGAAAAGTGGAGCAATCTGATAGGAAAGGATTTTTTTTTTTTATGGTTTAGACTCATTCTTTTCTTAGCAGCACAAGGACGGTGCAAATTAATGCGTGATTTTTGGTGGTGAAGAATTACAGACAGAAAATAGTTGGATCAAATGTTGATTATGTGGAATTTTAGGGCCCCTTTTCTTCTCCCCAGTAGAGACCGCAAACATAATTTTCATTTGAAAAATAAAAAGGATTTCCCGGTCAATTTTCAAAGTTGTCGAGATGAACGCAAGTTGAAGAAAGTTCAGATCAGGAATCAGGGTAACAAGCCGGGGACAGATGTCACTGGACAGGCCACTACGTGGGAGATGGGAAAAACTATGTTGGGGGACCTTTTCCTTGACATCGTTAGTCAATGACTTTACGTGTAGGTCATTTTCGGAAGGCTAGAGGCCTCATTGGAGGGCGATGCCGCCGTGGGATGTTTTTAGGTACCACGCCATGTTACCCTTCATTTCACAATACCACCTGAATCTATCACTGTTACTTTTCCTAACGCATGAACGAATCTGTCTTAATTAATTATTATTTAATTTCTTTTTTGTTTGTTTATTTGTTTTATTTGAAAAACAAAAGGTAAATAACGAAAATATTAAGTAAAATTAATCATTTTTACCTTAGACACTGATCAGTGAAAATTGGGTTGACAGTTTGGTAAACACCGCGAAAAATGGATTTTGAAAAACTTTAATTCAACAGCTGATATATAAGACAATTCGACATGTGATCCTCACCACGCCCACCGCGTGCTTTTAGGAGGGAAGGGGCCAGGAGGCTGCGAGCCAAATTTATTGTAAAGAAAAAAACAAACTCATTGAAATGAAACATCAATCTCATGATTTGGACGACATGATACTTGTATTTGAACTAAAAAGATTCTCAATATTAGCTAAGTCATTTCTAAAGTATCCACTAACCAACATTTGATGCCGACTGGAAAACCATCTAAAATCCATTTTTTCTGTAAGTTGTAACCTGCACCTGTTAGCCAATAATGGTTGGTGATTTATTTTAAGAGGGAGTCGCCCCCAGCGACCGCTTTTGAACGGTCCACTCTCTAAAGACCCACATCATCCAATATTTTAAAGTGGATACCGGTAGCTTCTTACACAAAGTTACCTTAGTTATCTCTCTAGAGTTTATACTATTGTACTTTTAATATCCCTTCCCCTTCTTCTTCTTGACTTGACTCGGCAAAACTATAATAGATAGAATATAATACTTCTAGAACATGGGATTTAGAAGGTCGACACCATGACCGGAACAATGGGTGAGAAGTTTCAAGCTTACACACTTGGATGGCATGGACCTATAATTACTCGAGTGTTGAAGATAGTCGATAAGAACGACTGTCCCTATAATTTCTCTGTTTTTTAATCAACCCCAACAATCAGGTTGCATTGATAGCAAGTTTGAATTTCACTTCAAATCTGAATTCACCTAAAGCTTTTCTTCTTTAATCCATCACATTATTCCTCCGTAACCAAGACATATTCCCCCATTATATTTTTTTAATGCTTCGCTGCCCCACACAAATTCATAATTGCGGTCATATCAACTACTAAATCAAATCTTGCACTAAAAAATTACCGATTCTAATCATAATTAGTCTTCAATCCAACCCAACAAAATTTCCAGTTTAGAATAGAGGAGTTGGAATTCCTACGGGCTTGAGTATGCTGATTGCTAATTCACTCCTCCTCCCAGGCTCTGACGATTGCTGATGATGGGATCTGGTAAAATACGAGAGCGAGCAGAGAGGCAGAGACAGAGAGTGGATAAAGAGTGGGGAATCCTTCTGAGCCACGTGTAGGGAGGAGAGTCAACGTTGCTTAAGATGGAATGCTCCCAACGACATGCAATACAAGTCCTGTCCTTTGGGGCCCCGCTCAGGCAGATGGTTGTCCACCCACACCCAGACTCAGGGTTCTACATTCCAAGAATCCATGCGCCAACCCCAAAACCCTGTTCTTCAATTCTTCAAAATATTAGTATTCGGGTTTTGGCTTTACTTTAGGACCACCTTCGGGCTTCTGGCCGGGGGAGGGAGGACAGACACTTCAAGCCAGCAACCTCTTTTAACGAGAGGAACTTTATTGCTTACAAATTTAAAATATAACTACTACAACTACAACCATTTTTCACTTCCATTCCATGCACAACCTCATCATTATTATCCGAGTAAAATTAATTAACTGCAATTATTTCTGAAGGCATGGTTACAGTTAAAACTTTATTTACTGATGGAGCGGGGTTTTTTTTTTCTCTTGGTTATTATCAAGAATTAAAGCTCAAGACTTTAATGTACTATAATAACCAATTTAAAATGATTATTAAATTGACTGTTTAGTTAGTTCATGTGTCAAATTTAGTTACAAATTAAGTACGGACTAGACTATAACTGAAAGTGAAATCAATAATCATATTTTATGACAAATAAAAAGCAGATTAAAAAAAACCCAAATGAAAAATTATTGTCAAAAGGATTGGATTTGGAGTATTATCGGATAAGAGCGACGAAGCATTTAGCATTAAAAAGAATTAGATTTATTAGAAGACCCCTTTTAGTTTTGGGTGGAATGAATAAGTGTAAAGATGATAAAGACGGTAGCTATGAATAGATAACAGCTAATTTCCATCTCGGACTTTGACTGAGGTGTACATGCAATGTTTAGGAATTTGGAAGGAGGCATACAAGTTACTAAGAGGTTTACACCTTTGAACATTAAGATATATCATAGAATTGTTCCAACCTTTTTTCAGAGTATTTATTTAATCAAACCCCAGCTTCCAACTTGGCACATGTAGCTTATAAACAAATTTAGATTTGTTTTTTTTGGGATTAACAATAAGTAATTAAGAGGTTGTTTGGATGCCTTACTTAATTATGGAGATTAGACTAACAAACAATTTGCAAATGAAGAGCAAAGGCTAGCTGTCATTGTTGCAATATAATCAATAAACATGACGAACTGATTCCATCAATTAGGCTGAATATACTCCTAGAGTACATTAATCATACATCTTTACCAAAGCAGGCAAAGTGCAAACCATTATCCAACCTGAAATTCTAAGTATTTCCAAAATGGCATTGGCAACATTGTTAAGAAAATAGAGACTCGATATTGATCAACAGATAAGATAAAAAAAAAAACCAAGAAATTATGTTGTTAATTGATGGCGAGAGTGAGGTTATTAACTGATTCAGGTATCAAATACTTGAATAATTGGATGTTAATTAAGCTAGCTAGAAACTCTAAATGTACTAACCCCCTATGAACTGGCATGCCAAATAAATTGAATATTTTTTCCCTCAACGATTAACAGGTGCTCCCACGGTTCCCGTAATATGGTATGTTGTCTTAATCAGCTGAGATCAGCGGATTAGTTAGTGATGAAGCAGTGATTAGAGATTACTGTTTACATTGACAATTGACTTATGCTTGTTTAGACTTTAGGCTTTCGAAAACAAAATAAAACGCCACTGCAAGAATAAACATAAACAATATCAATTTCCTTGATACAGAGAACAATTAAAGCTTTGTTTGAATAACTTTTTATCTCGTTCTTATATTTCCGATCTTAAAAAGGCGCAAATCCCTTGTGGTTTAAGGCATTTTGGAATCTTGGATTAGTTTTTCCTATTATTAGCCTAAGGTTAGATCTTAGAAGGAAGAAGGTAAAGATGTCCAAATTCATCGAAGTTGATTCACATTTGTGCATGGTTTACGTAAAGTGGGCTTAGCTTCAAAAACAATGAATAACTTTAAAAATGGAAAAAAAAAAAAAAGAAGAGGGCAAAATATAATAATTTGGCCTGATAAGCTAAAATATGGAAAAGAAAACCTCCATGGGGAAGTGTTAGGTTAGCTAGAAAAAATTGAGAGCGTCCAAATCACTCCAAGATTGCTCCACCAAATTGGTTTTGAGTACACTTAGGCGCTTTTCTTGACCTCCTAATAAGCGTGGCGCCATTTTCTTTTTTTTTTTTTCTTTTTTCGAAGCTCACTCTTTAATATATTTGGGTCTAATTATAAAAAGACATAATATTCGAAATATTTACAAATATAGCCTCCTTGAGGCTTTAACTTTACTTTAAAGCTACAAAAGTACAGAATTAACGTTGACCTCACAATGCGTTAAGCCCCAGACCGTGGACGCTAACTTTTTTGCTTCCTCGCCGGGAAGTGGAAGTGGAAGTGGAAGTGGACGTGTCATTATACGGGGAAGGTTAGACTCAAAACATTATATAGGGAAGGTTAGACTTTTAGAGGTTTGATTTTTTGCGGATGGAAACAAATGAATCTGTTCAAAATCTTGTACTTCATTAATAAATTTCTAAAACAGTTAAGATATTAATTTAGATGTCGTCTTACTTTATAATTGGAGATGTGCATCGTGCATTGTCCATTGAGTTCATGCATTTTACACTATAACCACTTTATCGCTGATAAAAAAAACTAAACTCTATTTCATTAATAGTTTTATTATTTATTTTATTTATAGAAAAATAAATAGAAATTCAAAAATAAATAGGACAATAAAAATAAATTAAATGGGACCTTAATTAGATAATAAGTAATTAGATTTTAAAACCTTTTATTGACTTATTATAAGCTTAAAGTCGAGTGAGTGATTGAAATTCAATGAAATATTCTCACCCTTAACATAAAAAGAGAATCACTTTGCAAGTTCAGGTCAATTACGCTAACATCCAAGTCAATTATGCTAACATCCAAGTCTGATCACTAGTTCAATAGTTTTTTAAGTTTAAAACACGTGATTCTCAAAATTTTAAACTTAAGTTGTTAGCAATGGTAAACTTTGATTGTTATATAGGGTTTAATAATTATATTCACATTAGATGTGAGATGTTGGTTATCATAATCTCACTCACTCAAATCTTTGATGTCATCATTAAGGTCATACATTACATTTGACGCAAGTTTTGATATTATTTGTGACGACCTAAGTCCAATCACTAACCCAACAACTTTTTAAACCTAAACCACGTGGTTCTCAAAAATTTAAATTCAAGTTACTAATAGTGGTAAACTTGAATTATTATATATATCTTAACAATTACATTCACATCAAATGTGAGAGGTTGGTTATCACACACATTATATGATAAAATTTTATATACTAACACAGTAAATAAGAAAAAAAAAACTTTGGGGACCTTGAACAATTTTTTTTAGGGATACACATGAGAAATTTTATTCATATATAACAGTTGAGAAACGTTCATAGATCAGATTTGACTCAACGATAATTTTAAATTTTATTTATTATTAAAATATTAATTTTAAAAATATTTTAATAATTCAAAAATAAAAATTATTTAATAATATAATAACATTGTGGATATAAAAAAAAGGGTTAGAGTCAAACTTGAATGGGTCTTGGAAAATTGCACGAACGTGAAAAGATTTCTGACAGCTTGCCGTATAGTTAATTCTTTTTTGAATTTGCTTACATATTTGGATAGAGAATTTGTAGAAAGAAAGTGCAAATAGATATTGATATTTTTGTAATTTAATTCAAAAAAGAAAATAGGATAAGAAAATGGACATCAATCTTTCTTTGCTCATTAAATCCAATCACTACATAAATGAGTTAAAAGAGGATTAAATTAAAACACTTATTGATCTACTATTAAAATAAATAAACAATATTCAGATTTTTACATATGCACTCAAACCGAGTCCACATCAAACTTTCTTTTTTTTTTTCTTAACAAATGGGTTTTTACTCCCTGTTTTTTTTTTACTGTCCTAACAAATGTGTGATTAAGACACTAACGGTAAATTGTTTCTTTAAAACACTAAGCATGATATTTTGCAGACAAGTCTCATCCATTATGAAAGGATGGGTACAATGTAATAGAACTCATCTCAATTCATTTATAAATTGTTACTATTCTTGATAGGTGTCTATTGATGTCTAATTCAACCTTTAAAAGTAAAAATGTATATCATAATTCATATAATTTTTTTAAAGTTAATTCTCAATTTCAAACATAATATATATATATATATATATTGTGTGACACAAATTATTAGTTAGCAGACGTGAAATGCAAAGATGGTATGGCTAAATATGGAAATTGAATTTAACCAAAAAAAGGAAATGGGAAGCCTCCATTTCCAAGCAAACTTGGGCTAATCTCTAATTACCCAAACCCATATAAAAACTTGAAAGCGTACAGAAGGCAAAGTCAATTACGCCAGTTGAGGAACTAAAACTCCACTTCCACTCTGTCACCCTTGTTAAAGCAACTTGATAAAGGAAACACCCAAATTTAATTAAAATCTTTTCAAAATCACCATAACTTGAAAAAAGAGGAAAAAAAAGTTTTGGAAATTCTTCACCTAATGACAACCGTTTACTTTTCAAACTAAACAACTTCATAAAAAAACCAAAAGCCACCACCATCCAGGGCATTTCCGTAATACCATCCCTGTCCCAAGCCCTTCTTTATATTTAATCTCCTCTTTCTTCTTACATACCAGAAACCCCTTCCCCCCATCTCCACACGCACTCCATCCCAAAACCCCTCCTCCTTCCCATCACCTTCCTCACCTCGCCGGCGAGTCAGTTCCCGGCGACTCACTTTTCCAAATTCTGTTTGTTTTCCCCTCTTTTGATCTTATAAATTGAGTTTGATTTTTGAAGTTGTAGAGCAATGGGGTCGGAGCTGATATACAGAGGCCACGAGACCCATACTGCTTCGGATTCATATTCGCCCAAACCTGTTAAACCATGGGCCTCCGTTATCCGGCCGATTCGTTACATGCTTAGAGAACAACGGCTTCTCTTCGTGCTCGTCGGCATTGCGATAGCACTCTGATTTTCACCATCTTCCCAACCTCACGTGCCCCGCACGTTCCCCACCACCACTTTACCACCTCGATCTCCGATTCCATCACTTACTTCCCCATCGAGACCCAGAACAAGTTCTCCTACCCGCACCGGGTCGGGTTCGAGTCAGCCAACCCGACCGGTAAGATTCCGCTGGGGCTAAAACGGAAGGGTTTGAGAATCGTCGTTACGGGTGGAGCCGGGTTCGTCGGGTCCCACCTCGTGGACCGTCTGATAGCTAGAGGAGACAGCGTGATCGTCGTCGATAACTTCTTCACTGGAAGGAAAGAGAACGTCATGCACCACTTCGGAAACCCAAACTTCGAGCTTATCCGACACGACGTCGTGGAACCTTTGCTCTTGGAAGTTGACCAGATCTACCATCTCGCTTGCCCCGCTTCTCCAGTTCATTACAAATTCAACCCAGTCAAAACTATCATATCCTTTTTTTTATTTAGTAATAAATACTTTTCCATAACCCTGGTTTTGCTATGTTTGTTGCTAGTTTTGATTTATAGGAGTATCTGTTTTTCCTTAATGGGGTGTTCTTTACAAGACGAATGTGTGGGGGACATTGAACATGTGTGCCTGGCTAAAAGAGTAGGTGCCAGGTTCTATTGACCAGTACCAGCGAAGTGTACGGAGATCCTCTGCAACATCCTCAGAAGGAAACTTACTGGGGCAACGTTAATCCCATCGGTTAGTTTCTTTCTCTCTGTTTCTTTTTCTTTTTTTTGTCCTTGGAGAAAATTTCTGTCGCCGGAAAATCTCTTTCTGACTTCCATTTACAAATTTCCCCTTTATTTGAGAGGCAGAGGGAAAGGAGTCTTGTAGTTTCAATTGCCTTTCAATATGGGTATGGGAGTTGGGTTTCCTCCTGTACACGTTTGTTGTCCTTTTGGAAGTTGGAAGTATTGCTGAAATGGCGCTGGTGCTGGTGCTGGTGCTGGCGCTGGCGCTGGCGCTCTAGAACGTTTAGATCTGGTCGAATTTCTAACGTTTCAGGATAAACCCGTGATTAGCGGTCCCTTATAGTCGTACGGCAATAAATTTTACATTCTATCCTACGACAGACTGGCACGTAGCACAGATTGATCACCAGTTAAAAATCATTTTTGGCAAAAGAAGGAAACAGGGTTTTTTTATTTGGAGTGATGAGAAACGGAAATGGCAGGGAGGTGGTGGGGACATTTCCGTAAATTTTGTCTTCTGAATGTGGAAGTTAGTTGCAAGTTTGGATCTGGCTGCTTGTTTGGGCGCGTGTCCCTGTTACAATCTGAAAAAGCATATGAATTTGCATTGTTTATGGGGCTTAATGGAGGGGGACCAACCAATACGTTTGAATGTGTGATGACAGGTGTCCGCAGTTGCTACGATGAGGGAAAGCGTACTGCTGAAACGTTGACCATGGACTATCACAGGGGCGCTGGCGTTGAGGTTAGCTAACCTACACTTTTTTAATCTCACTGTAATAATCTAATCTATTTAATTTGTTGTCACTGACATTGCACCAAACTTTTAAATCACTGTTTTATATTTACATACGAGTACTTTCTTATTATTATAGTTATTTATTTAATCCGCTGTTTCAATATCAGGTTAGGATTGCCAGAATTTTCAATACTTACGGACCTCGTATGTGCATCGATGATGGCCGTGTCGTTAGCAATTTCGTTGCTCAGGTACTCTTTGTTTTAGTTGTAATTTTTATAATTTTATTTGATAGGGTCAGCGGGTGGTTAATGTGATAATTGAATAATGAATGCAGGCTTTAAGGAAGGAGCCTTTGACTGTATATGGTGATGGGAAACAGACTAGGAGTTTCCAATATGTTTCTGATCTGGTAAATGATGCTTTATTATTGTTATTTTTATTTTATTCAGACTTCTTTATTAGGCTTTTATTTTTTTATTTTTTTGCCTGATCCAAGCTTTTTTATGAATCTTTTCAGCTTTTACTTCTCTTTATTTTTTGTTGGAAATGTTGGTGCCATAATACTACATTGCTTGTTTCTATTATTATTTTTTTTAACCTATGTTACATATCTGATATAAATCTGCAATTTGTAGTGAAAATTTGAGATTTGGTGGGGAAGTTTCATGTGATGTTAAAACTGTGCAGTGCACATGATTTGAAAAGTACATCCTGACATAACATTTGTATAAAGTGAAATCTAAACTATATGATATTTCAGCATAGGAAATGTAAAGTCTTTTGGGATAAGAAATTTAACTGACAGGATCTTCTTGGTTCCGAATTTCCCTTTGGTGAGTGTAAAAATTAATTGAACAAACATACACCATGTGACTTGTACCAAATGATGTCCCAAGTGGACCAGCTAATTTTAAATGCCCATAGTGTAGTATGAGCAATGCATCAATGTGTTTTGTTCACTGTCAATGGAAATAATAGTTCTTCCAAACCAGTATTTAACCACTCGTGCTTGCATAAAAAGTTGGTACCCTCCTGCTTCCATTAATGGTATTTTCAGTGACCTTTTGGGATTTTTTTTATTTGTACCATTTGATATGATTGGCCAGCCTTTTAGAGTAAATAGTTGGTATTTTCTATTGAGTGTACAACACTATCTGGGGCAGGTTTTTCCCCAGGAACATTTATTGATGTATTATTATAATGCTGTGTAGTTGGATTTGTGGGGTATGCTGTTCAGTGTTTTGTCTAATATCTTGTGATCAGAACTGTTCTCTCCTCTCCACAATGATTGGTAGCTTAGCATAGCTGTTCCTGCTCATTTTTGTGAAATAATCTGGTTTGAAACAGGTGGAGGGTCTCATGCGCTTGATGGAAGGTGAACACGTTGGACCTTTTAATCTTGGAAATCCAGGTGAATTCACCATGCTTGAGCTTGCTGAGGTATGCCTACTACTCTTTAAATCTTGGTATTGTTTTCTATAGAAGCTGATAAAGCTACTAAGAAATGTTTTGGTGATAACAATGACAGTGGTTATTGTTAATTAAATGCATTGAGATCTTAGTTAAAATCATGGGTGTGCCATAAAATTAATACTGCCTTCACAGTGTATTTCATTTGATTCAGAGTCTTGTTATTCTTTTAAAGATTGAAATTCAAGATCCTTACCTTTAATTGGGGCCATGAGACAAATTTACAACCTAAGCTAGTGTAGGATATGTGGAAGTGTTTTATGACTTACTAGTTTTATGTTGCTGGTTTCCTGCATTCTTGCTCTACTGGTTTCTATTTTTCTTGGACAGTACTGAGATTTCTCCACGTTTATTTACAGGTAGTCCAGGAAACAATTGACCCGAATGCAAAGATAGAGTTTAGACCCAACACAGAAGATGACCCACACAAGAGGAAGCCTGATATCTCAAGAGCCAAGGAGCTACTTGGTTGGCAACCCAAGGTGTCCCTTCGAAAGGGTCTCCCTCTAATGGTCTCAGACTTCCGGCAACGTATTTTTGGTGACCACAAGGAGGGCAGCAACACCAACAATGCATCAACATCTTAAGGTGGCATATATACTCACAGAAAGAGCAATCAAATATAATTGTTCAGTGGAAAAGAAGTCCCCCTCTTTTCCCCATTGAAACAATATAGTTAGCGGCGGCAGCGGCCGCGGTGGCAGCAGCAGCAAATGAAGCCTCTTTAGAATAGATTTGGAGATTTTCCTTTTTGACTTGTGTTTGCCATCTTTGTAATTTCCATGTCTCTATCCCCTTTTAAATCTTAATTGACAGTGAGCTTTGCGAATCTAAAATAACATTTTACCCTTTTTTCTTTTCTGTGCAGCTGCTCATGTTCAGCAGCAATAGTGATTCAATTCTACATTTATCATTCTTTTGTTTGCATATATTAGTTTCTCCATTTACCCATACGCAGTGCTCCAGCTCTTGGTCCTTGCCTCATTGGTTTCTTTCCCTTTTAACCCTTTCTCAACGAGGGTCCGGACTCGATTCCTTGTCAGTTCCAGGCGGATTTATATTTTTGTCCAATATTCTAAGGGAATTCATCAAGTGTTCATGTTAGTAAATTATGGAAGATCCTTGACGTGACAGAAAATGAAAAGAAACGAAAAAAACCCAGGATCTTCCGGGGCCTACAAATTTCCAATCAGTTTGCATTAACAAAATAAAACTCTGAGGAAGGACAGAATATGCATCAAAAGACCATGCATGCCCAGAAGAAAGGTCCGATACAAGCTCAGTAAATCTCCGGCTTTGCCTTTCTGAAGGCTACCATCTTCCCCACCATGAGTTCGTGAGAATATGAATGGGGGCTTGCTAGACTTGGGCTAAAGCTAGTATCACAAGAGAGATGATTTTGGGAGATATTCTCTGTAATTGTCCTATTACAATTGTCGTTTCATAAATATGAAATATGTAAGCCACACTAGTGAGTAATGAAACTGCACATTAACTTTTTATCGTGATTACATAATTTATAACATTATATTATATAAAAGAAGGAGAATTGCAAGTGATATGCTTTTGATGATTCCAAATTCCGTCTACGATCCTCTTTTCACTCAAAAACTCATGGCCCAACTTAGTTAGCCCTTGGCCTTCTTTAGGACCTTCATGTAGAGCAGTGCCAGTGCTTGAAACATAGGAATATATATATATAGCTCGTTGGGCTTCAGGACAACTTTTGCACAAGACATTTGTAGTTACGTTGGAGTTCTGAGCCCAATGGTAAGTTGCTGACCTGACTGAAGTTTGGTATGGCTTAATAATTGCTCCATGTTTCTTGGACTCAAATACAAGTTAAAGAATATGATTTGCAGTTGAGCGCATTAAAGAAACAAAACAAAATAAAAAAAAAAGGGTTCAAACTGGCCGAGGTTTTATGTGCGTCGGGTACCAAAAGCAAGCCATATTGCCCGCCTCCCTACGATCTTTGGGCAACAAACAATGACATTTCTTTGGCCATTCTGACACTAGAAAGACAAAGAAAACGTCAATCTTGGTTAAACCTTGAGACATGCAATTTCCACAGCAATAGCCAAGAACCCTATAAGAATGACATTTCAGGCCATGGGAATCATAGCGTTTCCTTGACAATTTTATTGCTATTTATTTTTTTTGGGAAAAACATAAATAATAAATAATAAATAACAAAATATAAATAATAAGAATATCAATTAAACAGAGTCTAAATAATTATAATAAATTAGAACGTGTATAATATTTGACAATTCAAGCTTTATTTCTTTGTGTACTTCAAAGAAATTACGAATAAATTGATGTTTTTGACTCATTTTCATTTGAAATTGGAAGAAATTGAAGAATTGCTGTGGCGTGTAAATGTTCTCAATTGACCAACTCGATAACTTTTTCTTCGAATATTAGGACACTTTTTGTCATGGAAGGGAAAATGAATGCATATCTCATTATACTTAATCAAGGAATAACTACATAAATGGATTTAACTTTGCACGTTAAATATAGAACTGAGTAGGAATTAAGAAATGAGAAACATAGGGCCTCAATGGATCAATGTTGGCGTACTTGTACTTTACGTTGGGCTGCAAGTGCAAAATTGCATTTAAGTTATACGAATTACTGCAATTAATTCGCCGGGGAAGCGGGGAGGAGAGAGCTGCCGATGTAACTTATGATCAGTAAGTTTGTTGGAACTATCAACTACATTGGCAGTCATCATAATTTCATCTGATCTCCATCTTCATTGCTTCCTCCGTACGCTTGCATACTGGCCCAAAGGAAGTTTGTTTTTTTTTTTTTCAATCAGTCAACAATCTAATTTCGGATCTCAGGTATAATCAGGGACCACAATAAACAGTTCAATGAAACAAGTGATCACCCACAAGCAAACCTATTGTTCCAGAATGTAAATCATATCAAGCAACACAATGGGAGCAACTTTCTTTTATTTTCCATTCATTTCCCCTTCAAAAGATTTGCATTTCTACGTTTGTGAGAACATGAAATTTATATATGCTGCAGAGAAATTTACAGAGACGGTAGCTAATTTGATGCTATTAGGCTACATTGCTGAGTGATGTTGTGTACGAAGTCCCTTCAATCCGCACAAATAGCTCCCTTTCGATTGTCTTCTACCATTCGTTGCCGCCATTGATACTGTTGTGTTAGCGAATTTCTCGAAGCCATTGTTGAAAGGATGAAGAATTTGCTCAAAAGTTACAGCATTGCGGCGCTTGTCAAGCCATGCAGTGATATCGGCAAAAACGATTTCAATGTTTTCATCGGGTTCCCCTGATGTCAATCCATGCCACATCTCTGGATACAGTTTTATGGTTTTGTCCCTGCTGCTAGCTTTCTCATACAGGGCCTTGCTTACTTCAGGGTCTGTTACTATATCAGCCTCCCCGTGCAGCACGAAGAAGGGGAGTGTCACCTGCCAAAGACAATTCAACCAACCGGTGTAAATGTCAAATAAATGAGAGAACACTCTCTCGGTTGCCAACAATAATTTTTCTACCTAAATTTATTCACTGCATTAACTCATTCAACGATCCTAGTGCCTCATTGTAACGGGGAATCCAATTAAAAGGAACCCTCTGACAGAAGGTACAGTCGGACTTCATGGTACAGAGCCTAACAGCACCTACAATAATTTATTTCTGCTATTTTTTCCCATATGGCGAATTAGTCCCTGAAATGTAACCCAAGACTCATTCCCCTCACCTTCCATGCAGATTATTACGATAGTGATAGTAGAAGTTTTGTCTCTCTTGAGATTTAAAAGCACAAAAATCAGATATTTTGGAATGGGGAAGGGCTCGAGAGCGAAAGATGTTAACCTCATTTAAACCATCTTCAAGGCTCATGCTGGTTCTGAGCATTTCCAGTGCTGTTTTCAGTCTGGGCTTGTCTTGGTATATCAACTTATTATTCCTTATCTGCACCCATCATCAAGGAAAGAGAGACCATCCGTGAGCTTTAGTTACTGTATTAAATCCTTTAAGTCAGTAAAACCAATTCAAGAGTATCTAGACTTAACAAGAATAGAAGGAATTGAATATCCTCACCACTTCTCGCTTAACGGGGTCCTTGAATGCTGAGTCAATAACATCTTTTGTGGGTACTATCTTCCATTTAGGTATGATTTCTTCCATTTTAGTCAATATATTCACGACCACTGGATGTGGCTTCACTTTCTCTGATATCTGGAAATTTTAAAGCTCAACTAGAGTAGCTGAATAATTGATTCTTACTAAGGTTAATAGTAGTAGTATTTACATCATTACCTTACACATGGGTGCAACAAGTACAGCGCCATTCCAAAAGGAAGGGTCCTTCTTATGAAGCAGTAGGGCCACAGCACCTCCCATTGACTCTCCATATAAGAATCTGCTCTTCTCCCTATATTCTTCCAGCGCTGGAAAACCATGGTGGCAGATTTAGGTGGTGAACTAAGACAAAGGAGCTAGCCAAATAATTGTGGTAATTCTGGTATGTCACATACCGCAGATAGATGTGAAAAATTCAGTGCAGTCATTAACGATGTTTTCGAACTTCTTAATATAACATCGAGCACCCTTGGACCTTCCATGCCCTTCATAATCAATCCCAAACACGGCATATCCTGCAGCTGATAGCCTGGTTCCACATTCTATTGAAATCATGATATCAGATTAAGACAGGCCTTGAACTCCATTAATCAATTCCCAACACTAAAATTATCATTTATCAACAATGAAATGACTATCCATTTTGAATCTTCTCACCTAGGCAACCTAGGGAATTCATGCAATAAAGCAAACATCATTGACTTTTAATCTTCTAGTCACTAATAAAACTAGACAATAGGTCTTCTATGAGCAGAATCCTAATTCAGATATCCCACAAGGAAAAGGAAATTGAAGTGGATCCTTTTGCTGAATTGACCCGTCATCAAGAGTAGTTCAATGAAATGATTCTTTCCTTCTTTCTAATTAATCGGATTCATCAATTAGTTTATGGTTTCTTGAGTCTTTATCAGAGAATCTTGGTGGGCCTGATCAGGATGGTTGAGTATGAGCAATTGATTGTTTGCCAACCTAAACCAACCCAGCTGACCCACATTTTAAATTCAGGTCAGGATACAGAACATGACCCACAACAAGATCTACACAGCTTCAAATCTTCATCAATGTGATGGATGATCATAGAACTATGAATACCTATCGTTATTTAAACAAAAAAGTGACTATCAATATGTATAATAAATAACTCAATAATTAGTCAAACATAAATTTAGTTTATGACAATACTTTTTTCCTTTTAACAAAGCTACAAAGTAGCTTTTTGAGCTGCTTGTTTATTGTAATATAAACACAATAGCAACTTCAAGCTGATCACCAGTTAAAAACAAAAGGAACAAGCTTAAAAGTCGAAAAAAAAAATGTTGGCCTTATTTGGCTTTCTTGCGTACAGAAAAGAAAATCCTTCACAATGACATGCCAATGTTGATAAGATAAATTGATTATGTCACACTGCTCGAATGCAATATCTGTGAGGTTACACCTACGCATTAGAATGGTGACAAAATGCAACAGAAGATAGTGGCAGAGACCATAGGGAATAGCCAACTTATCCTTTTTGTTTGATCAATGGCAACAATTCCTCATACCCCACAAATATATATATATATAGCACTAACAATTTAAGAATTGAAGCCCTCTTTTATTTTCCAGGCAAGGAATTTTTTCCAGATCTATCTTACACTTCCCTATATGATTAATCAATTAAAATCAGAAATTAAGTAGCCAAAACAGGGGTTGTGGCTCTAAAATCTTAATTCCTGAAGGCTTCCAACCTATTTAATTTGATTTTAAATATATTCTCCTAAGTGGTCATGTTTGACTTAAGTTCCCATCTCCAAATTCTACTTGAATTGGGACAAGTGGGAAACTTATGAAACTTAAATTGGAGGGAAACTCCAAACCCTGTTTGTGTCCAGCCAAACATGATCATTAATTTCAACAACTCAAAAACATTTTGGTGGTTGACCACCACATGACCACGTAAAGATAACCCAAAGTTATTTGGCGAGCAAACACTGCCATCATCATTATTGTTTACTGCTGAAACTAGTCTTGAGGGACAGAGAAAGAGAGAGGGGGAGAAAGTTTGGGTAATCAATTCTGGGTGAAAAGTTTGCCAATCTTTATATGGAAGTTTGTGATTCACAATAAATATCCGTGAACCTTCCAAGCTTGGAAAAAATTGTTTTGAATTTGATGGCATGGCCAATGGTATAAAAGTTGGAATCTTGTGAACAAAGGCATCTACGTGTTACATGATGCTATTTGAAAAAGTAAAAAAAAAAAAAAGGTTAAAAACACATTTAAACGGGAAAATAGGTTATTTAAGAGCATTTATTACCTCTCATGAACCCGCTGCACTCCACGCCATAGCCTGCAAGGACATCAATGAATTACACCCAACGCTCCCTTCATTTTTCTTCCCTTTTTAATTGTTTTTTTGGCTAAGTATAGTAAAGCGGTAATTAAATGATTCAAGAGAGAAAGAGATATGGAACCATGGCAAAGGAAAACAAGAGCTTTTGGAGAAGAGAAAGGCAACCATCTGCAAGTAAAAAGCAAAGCTCCTCTTGAATTCCTTATATGCTCCTACATCACACATTCAACCCACAACCATGAAGGTTAAACTCGATCTAACAATATTCCAGCCAAAAGAGAGAAAGAGAAAAAAAAAGGAAAATAAACGACGAAGCAATACCCATGTAAAGCTAACCTCCTGATATTCAACTGCCATGTTCATGAAAATATAGAAGATAAAACCGATCACCAGTATACTCTCTTCTTCACAATGGCAATGAGAGTTTGTACATAGTAGTAAGTTATTACAGCTCTGAGAGAGTGAGCAGTACTTAAAAACGAAAAACGAGCCGACGTTTGGAAGAGCTGAAAAAGTAAAACGGAAGAAAGGAAAGGAGAGCCAAGGAAACGAAAGTACCTGCAGACAAAGACGGAGAAGGAGACGCGTTGAGGGCATTTACATAGATAAATATATGTGTATATATATATATATATATATATATATATGTATTGTTGGTTTGGAAAGTGTAATGGTCTGTTTTACGGGAAACTGGATAAAAAAGTAATTATCTGTCGAGGAAAGATATAAGCTGATGAGGTGGAGCGCGAACATTTTAAGTTGCCCATATCTTCAAAACAGGTGAGTCTCGAGAAAGTGGGTCCCGCCCACTGCCTCTGCCTTTGGATTCTCTTCTTGCTTAATCCCAATCCCCTCACTCTGCCTTATCTCCCTTCCTCTTTTTGGGTTTTGCGTTTTTCACCGATGCATGCATTTGGTTCCTTAGAGGTCTCCGCACTCCTGGGGTCATATTCCAATAAATATGATATTTTTACACATGACCTTATTAAAATAAAAATTATACATTTAATTCAAAATTTTTAATTTTATAAAAATAAGTTATATTATCTCATTATTTAAAAAAAGTTGCTACAATGACAACAAGATGCTATCTCCTACTTGTCTTATAATCATTCATTCATTTTATGAGTTAAGCTCTTTTTTTTTTTTTATGAAAGTAAACTTTAAACATGTGTTTAGATACGATAATAATAAAAAAAAAATTCAACTGTAACGTAGATTAAATGTTAACGTGATATTAATGTAATATTAATTATTATAATTATTTTTTTTATATAAATATAATAATAAAATATTTAAAAATTATTAGCCATATAAAAGATCAATCTAAATTTGTTTTAAATTCTAAAAAAACAAAAAATCCACACAATAAATTACTATTAATCTAGTACTATATATGCCTTATTTTATATAAGGTAAAGAGTTAAGAGTTTAAAAACTTTTAATGCTCACCTGAATTGCAAGTATTTTAAGGCATTTAGGAATTCATACATCCCTTCCGTTCAAATTATGGCAAGATATTCAGAGCAACCATTATGTTTTAAATACCAAAATTTATTTTTGGTTCATCAAAGTTTATTAAAAACAAGTTTAAATTGCTATAAAGAAACAAGGGTATCTATTTCCGTTGAGTTATTAATTATCTTTAGTGTATAGTATTTAAACAAATAATGAAGACTAATTTTATATTTTTTAGGCGTATCCATTATATGAATAATAAATAAATAAGAAGATAAAACATAAAATTTCATTTTTCTTTCAATTCCATATTTATTTATTTTTGTATAATTTCATAATCTGAATCTGAGTTAGTATACATTAATCCAACTTAAACTCTTTATACACAAAAGAAAGAGTAAGTGCACTTTTCATAACGTGAAGGATTAAAATAACATGAATATTAAAATGACCAAAAAATGCTTTGCTGCGGAATTTAAAGCAACATGTAAAAGAGGAAAAAACAAAGTCCGAGAAATAATTACCCGAAACCTTGAAAACAGAGTTTCTAATTTTCCCATCCCTTATTATTCAGTCAAAAGATTGTGTTGTTGGATACCACAACAGTTGAAGAGCTAAACAATATTTTGTGGGAGGCGAAAGCGTGTTAAGAAAATACCAATGCAAGGGATCTGGTTCTGGTCCCGATGGACAAAGATGATTCCAGCGACAACATTAAATTGATTTTGTTATTAATAAACTTCGCCACCACCACCGCTGCCCGTTAGGCCAATTACTCTCTTATTAGGCAAAAAGCCCACTAACCCGTCCTTTTTATTCATTGCATTATTATTGCAAGCGTTGGATGACATTGGGATTTACAATTTTCCGCTCCAATCATCAAATTACACCTCCCGCTCTCCCCAAATCTATTTCTTTTTTTTCTCTCTTTGGAAGCTTTCTTTCTGTCGACGGTGGAATACATTGGCAAGTGAGGAGGTCCATAATTTTCAAAATGTAATTAATTAAACTACTCCTACAACAAACACCTAGGACAGTTTTTTCTTTTTCTTTTTTAAATCTTCAGTCAATCAAATATATAAGAAATTCAAACCAAAATCATAATACAACCAACCACAGCCACTTTCTCCCCGTCTCTAACTATCATAATCCAACGCTGACTACAAAAGCATAAACCCTCCCGGTCTCAAAAAGAGGTCCCCTGTGAAAGGAGACTCAGCCCAATAAGGCAAATTTGTAATTTAACTTTTTGTCATAAATAAATCCCACATTTATGTATAATCACAGCACATCAAACCACAGGTTACCTACCTACACTATGGATCCTACCAAAAGCTTATTGCTAACCAAACAAAACTTTGTGTGGAAAAGGTTTTTGGAGCGTGAGGAACTGAGGAAGTGGCTTTATCTCTCTTCTGTTCACATGTACGAAAAAGAGGCTTAATGGATGGACAGACTTAAAACCATATGTAGTAATAAATACTGCTTGTTCACCAAACTATTCAGCTAGATCATTTAATCAAACCGTCAAAATTTTCCCTTGGTTAGAATTTCGTAATAACATTCTCTGATGGCAGTGTAGGGTCCTCCTTCACAATGAATGGCAATCAGGGAATGGGCCGGTGCTTCCATTGGACAGCAGTCAATGGGTTCATATCCATGGACGATTGGTCGTGGCCTCTGGGCAAATATGACCAGAGACAATTACTGGAATCAAGAGGTTTGGATACCAAAAAAACGAGGTTATGCCCCATAACGATTCGCTCTTTAGCACATCAAACTGTGGCCAAGTATCAATCCAGTAGATCAGTGAGAGCGAACAATGACTAATCTCGTGAAATATTTTACCAGAAGTTAATGAAAGCCTTGTGCTAGAGCAGAGTTGTTCAGAAAAATATTAATGGTCATCCAATTGCAATATTGTTTCAGAAAATATATAAATAAATAAATAAATAACCCACTTGCACCATTGCAGTCAAGCTGAACTGAAAATTCCACATGTTTGGAACCCGCTAACTAATAGGTGGTAAGTGATTGCTGAACGAAAAGGCTGAATTCTATTTTCAGACGGCTGATTGATGTTGTCCAAAGAGGAACGAAATCATGATAGCAGAATGTTACGATTTAGGAGATGGAAATTCAACTAGACTTAAGTTGAAGCTAGTACTCAAGGAAACTGAAGGCAACTAAAAACAGTATTTCTGCTTTTGAAGGTTCAGTGGAATCCTTAGTTTATCATTTAAATTGAATAGAAACATGTAGCATTGACAATGATTCGTATCAGGGGCGAGATTTTTGCACCCACTTATCTTAAAGAAAAAAATACAAGCATTTGACTCTGCCAATGAACTACTTACTATCAGGATATAACAAAATCCTACAAATGACTAAAAATAAGACGCAATTCACTGTTACCGATTGCATGATTCAGCTAAGCGATCTACCAAAAACATAAAGTGTAAGTTTATTCTACAGTGAATATCAGAAATTTAAAGATTTTGGAAAACACATCTGTCGAATGTGCAGGTAAAGGGGAAAAAAAATCAGACGGGTGCCATAAAGATAATGGTTGGTGTAAGAAAGTCAGGATCACTTTGTTCCCCCAACTTGGAATTCCACTGCTAGATGTTCAATTTGTTCGGGAGAAATCAGCAGCAGCACTAAAGGCAGAAACAAGACAAGCCATCCCAATCACCTGTGTCCACCTTCTTGTCCTGGCAGCAACAGCAGCCCCAGCGACAGCACCCGCAATTAAAGAGTTTGTCTGAAGTTAAAAAAAAAAAAAAAGAAAGCTTGATGATCCTTGTAACCAAATCTTCAAGCTATTTCATGCATCATAATTCCAGTGTTAGGAAAATTATGGAAATTTAGAGCCTGTTTTACTCTTTGTAATAACTGATTGATAACTCCTCTTTATAACAGTAAACAACCAAATTTCATGTCTCTTATATAAGCAACAATAAACATAGGAAAACACTTTTAGGAATCTGAATCTTGTCTAGTCTCTGTTTGTCTATGTTACACAATGCATCTTTACCATAGGAAGACACTTTTAGAAAGCTCAAGTCTCAAGACATAAGCAAGTAAGAGTTCAACGTATGACAAAACAAAGTGCAATTTTCATATTTTCCTCACATCATGTGTAAGTAAGCTTTTCGCAGGAAGCAAACCAAATACAAGATGTGCTCAGCAACTGCCTTCAACTAGCTACTATTATGGGTATTTATTGTCTCTCCCCCACTCTTACATACATGGAAATGTTCTATGATTTCCTTCACCCATCCAGTGTTCCCTCTCCAAAGTTGCCATCATTTCAAGGAAAAGAGATTTCCCAGATATGCACAAATAAAGAAAACTATTTCAGAAGTCCATAAACTAACCCAGTCATTCTGCCTTCGGTATCTCTGAAGCCCGCAACGAGTCATGGTAAATACACCAGCAACAAGTCCTGAATATAAATGCGAAATAGTTTAAAATCTAGCAGATGCTTCATGAAGCACCAAAATAAGTTGGAAAGATACCCTAAAAGCGAAACCCCTGTCCAATTCTTTTTATTGGCAATCAAAGTAGTATTCAGTTTGATCTTGGAGTATCAAATTTTACCATCTAAAAACTTAGCCCAAAATCAAGCTATTCATTAATCAGTAATCAGGTCAGGTTGCCCATTAATCAGAGAGATAAGTGTAATTACCGCATTGGAAGCCGAATTTGCCAACAGACTTTGTCTGCAATTGAATTTGGGAGATTAAGCAATCGACATTGAGAAAAACACCTAGACTAGCTGATCAAATACTAAAAAATGCCCAAATATATATCATTTAATCAACCAAAGTTTGTAAATTTCCTTTACCACATATGAAGCTTGAGCGATGCCAGTTAAACCTGAACACCAAATAAACAGAAAAATAAAAATACGATTAACCTTAGTAGGTGAGTCCTCAACCTTTAGGGCTTTAGCTAACCAGAATGGCGGGAACTGAATATTCCAACAAAAAATAAAAGAATTGTTGACGGCTCATTAAATTTCTTTTATTGAAAATTTTTACCTTTTTTACGACCATCATATGGGGCTGAACAAATTCCCCAGAGTGCACCTGCCTGAAAGTAGATTTCAATTCTTCTTTGTTTGTTTGTTTGGTATTGAAAGAAAAGAAAAGAAAAAGCCGAGTCGAGCTTTAGATGTCTTTACCGTTCCGACGCGAATGACCGACTCAACGGCGAGGGAAGAGCACGGAACGACGCCGCTTAGCTCTTCCTCCATCTCTCATTTCCAAAATCAAGTTTTTCGGTTGCCACGCACGGCACAAGTATTAGAAGTCAGGGGAAATCGCTTTTATTAAACGACGACGTTCATCAATTGTTTGTTTCTTTAAAGGACAGCGTCTTCAGTTTTATTATCGCTTGGCCCATAAATTTTCATTTTGTTTAAAGGAAAATTAGGGGGAAAAAAAAAGAAGCTATTTCCAAAACAACGTCGTTTGGTCGTCCCCAAAACCCTAGATCCACTGTAACCCTCACTCTGCTAAATGCATTTTATATCTTCAAAACGCAGAGGCAGCTAAGGTAGTCTCTGACTTTCTGCCCTTGCTTTCCTCTCTTGTTTCTCCCGATTACTCTCCTTCGTGTTGATTTGACTCAGTGGAAAAGCAGTTAGGTGGTGCGAAGATGAGTCGTGGAGCAGCATCTGGACCCAAGGGGAAGAAGAAGGGAGCGTCGTTCACTATCGACTGCGCAAAGCCGGTGGAGGATAAGATCATGGACATCGCCTCGCTGGAAAAGTTCCTCCAGGAAAGGATCAAGGTCGGTGGCAAAGCCGGTGCTCTTGGCGACTCCGTCACTCTCACCCGTGACAAAAGCAAAATCACCGTCACCTCTGACGCCAACTTTTCTAAGCGGTATGTTTGATATTTTTCCTTATTTCGTTTTTTAATCTTTTAGTTGGAAGATGAACCATCTGCTGTTACACTTCCTGTTACGTATATCTAAATTTTTAGATCTGAAAAATAATTTTAATCTTAAGCGAAGGTACTCGAACTCTTTTAATTTTATGGGTAAGGTCGATGAAGACAAATTTTAAGGCTTGTTTCTCAAAACATTCGCAGTGGCCTCCTAAGAGCTTTCGCCCTCGCCAGGCTTGAGAGTTACTGCTGCATTTATTCTTCCTTGGATGTCTGAGACCTTGATACTGGTGCCTTGTTCATTTTTGTTATTGGAATTTCCGTCTTTTGAATGGGAAATGAATTCAATTGAATCTTATTAGGAAATGGCGTTTTGTTTATTACTTGAGTAACTTTATTAGTTTATATCTTTTGCTGCTTTTAGTGTTATGGATTGTAGGACTAGTGGTACTTTTTTAATTTTAAGGTCAATGATGACAATTAGTAAGGCTTGTTTCTCAAAACATTCGCAGTGGCCGCCTGAGAGCTTTCGCCTTCGCCAGGCTTGAGAGCTTCTGCTGCTTTTATCCTTCCTTGGATGTCTGAGACCTTCTGTCTACTTTCCGTTGTTTGTTGGAATTTCCCTCTTATATAGGGGAAAGAATGATATTTTGATTGTAAAAGTTGTGTTGAGCATTAGTTTGAATTATTTTCTCTGCTGTGTTTGGGTTTCAGGTATCTTAAGTACTTGACTAAGAAGTACTTGAAGAAGCACAATGTCCGGGATTGGCTTCGGGTGATTGCTTCCAACAAGGATCGTACTGTTTATGAACTCCGCTACTTCAACATTGCTGAGAATGAGGGGGAGGAGGAAGAGTGAAGAATCAGATCAGTATTTTCTCCAGTTCCCTATCTGGTTTATTAGTTCTGAGGACCTTGTTTATCTATTTCAGGTGTCTAATTTTTGGACATGTTTGGGTTGTTTTTTGACCCAAGTTTTTGTTGCCGATCATTACATTTTTTGTTTATGTATCAGTCCATTAGATGCTATTAAAAGGATGCATATTTCTTTTGTGAGTTGATTATAAGAGCTCTTAACTGATTTTCCACCTTGGTGTTTCAATTATCTGTGGCCTCATCGTCCCTTGTTAGCTAGCATTCGCAATACATTCTGATGGTATTGGCTGCAAATCTCTGTGTGTTGTAGGTTCTCTATGTTGACATGCAATTATTTCTTTGATGATTTGGCTACGTTGAATGATGTGTTAAGTTAGGCATGGTAGAGATGTGGTAGCAAGAATGGAGCCGTGTAACCAAATTGGATAGTTATATAGTGGGTTGTGCATATAGGTTGTGTGGTATGATGATGATTGCCTGCCAGAGACGATTTTAGTTTTTTGGTTATGGTAAATAAGACAACTTGGCAGCCCTGCGACTATTGATTAATGACTGGTGGCAGCCCCACGATTATTGGGAAACATCATCCCTTCTACGGGCGACAGAGGATAGAGGATATGATTAAGTAGTAAAAGGACTAGTTGAATCTCGATGCAATCCAGCACTAGCTTGGACCAATCCCTCACTGGCACAGACCTATCACATAAGCTAATTCAGTTCGCCATTCTGTATAGGTTAATCCTTGAATCAATACGAGGGAATGTGTTTTTTGAAGGTGCTAAGTGGTTAATTTTTCCAATTAGTCTTCTCTTATTGAAATTTGTTAGGGTTGTAGTGTCTTGATGAATGAAATTGTAGTAAATCATAAGTCAGCTGTACCAGTACTAATATATATTTTTAATACAAGCGTAAGCACTTTTTACGATAATGATTGATATTAAATCAACACTTACGGTTGCATTTTTAAGAGGCTACTACATAAAGCTAGCAAAATTCTAGCAAGCAATGCGAGCTTCTGCAAGGTACATCTCCCCCGCTCATCCAACTCTTCATTTTGCACACCCGACCCTTGAATCCTTCATATGGAACACCCTCATACGAGGCAATGCTCAGGCTACAGCTCGACCCACGTTCCCCACAATCTCCATCTACATTCGTATGCGCTTCCATGGCGTTTCACCTGATTTCCATACTTTCCCTTTCCTCCTACAATCATTCAATTCCTCATTTCACCTTCTCTCAGGTAAACAAATCCATGCCCAAACTATCCTCTTCGGCCTTGTCCAAGACCCATTTGTCCAAACGTCACTCATCAACATGTACTCATCTTGTGGCGACTTAATTGTTTCCCGTCAAGCTTTTGACGAGCTCACCCAACCTGATGTAGCGTCTTGGAATTCAATTATTCATGCCTATGTTAGAGTGGGGTTGATCGATTTAGCACGGGGTTTATTCGATAAAATGCCGGAAAGAAATGTGAGATCTTGGAGTAGCTTGATAAATGGGTTTGTTAGGTGTGGGAAATATAAGGAAGCGCTTGCTTTGTTCCGTGAAATGCAAATGTTGGCAGTTAACGATGTTAGGCCAAATGAATTTACAATGTCTGCTGTACTTTCTGCTTGTGGGCGTTTGGGTGCTCTGGATCATGGGAAATGGGCTCATGCTTATATTGACAAATGTGGGATAAAAATTGATGTTGTCTTGGGAACTTCTTTGATAGACATGTATGGAAAATGTGGGAGTATTGAAAAGGCGAGGGATGTGTTTCGTAATTTAGGTCCTGACAAAGATGTGATGGCTTGGAGTGCTATGATTTCTGGCCTGGCTATGCATGGCCATGGTGAGGAATGCCTTCAATTGTTTTCGGAGATGATAAAACGACAGGTGAGGCCGAATGCTGTTACATTTTTGGGTGTACTTTGTGCTTGTGTACATGGAGGTTTGGTGAGTGACGGAAAGGAGTATTTTAGGACGATGAGCAAGGAGTTTGGTATCATTCCTTCGGTACAGCACTTCGGTGCCATGGTTGACCTTTATGGAAGAGCTGGTCTCATTGATGAAGCATGGAATGTGGTTAAATCTATGCCTATGGAGCCTGATGTGCTCGTATGGGGGTCCCTGTTGAGTGGATCCAGGATGTGTGGGAACATTGAAACATGCGAGGTTGCACTCAGGAAGTTAATTGAGTTGGATCCCACAAATAGTGGTGCATATGTGCTTCTTTCAAATGTGTATGCAAAGACGGGCAGATGGACAGAAGTAAGGCGTGTGAGAGATGTCATGGAGGGTAGGGGGATTAAGAAGGTTCCTGGATGTAGTTTGGTTGAGATGGGAGGTGTCCTCCATGAGTTTTTTGTGGGAGATGATTCTCTTCCAGAAAGCAGAGAGATATACATGATGCTTGATGAGATTATGAAGAGATTGAAGATGGAGGGTTATGTGGGAAACACAAAGGAAGTTTTGCTTGATTTGGATGAGGATGGAAAGGAGTTGGCACTATCCCTTCATAGTGAAAAGATAGCTATTGCCTTTTGCTTCTTAAAGACAAGTCCAGGTACTCCTATTCGCATCATCAAGAACCTTAGGATATGTCTTGATTGTCATGTTGCAATAAAAATGATATCTAAGGTGTTTGCCCAAGAGATTGTTATTAGAGACTGCAATAGGTTTCACCAATTTAGAGAGGGAGCATGTTCTTGTAAAGATTACTGGTAAGCTGCCCACTGTTGTTGGCTAACCAAAATCTTTCTTAAGGCAATTACTTCGTCTGGCACAAAAGTTAGCATGAGGAAACCCTGGAGGCTTGAGGACTGAAATTTTGCATTCGACTTCCTCATGGCGCACGAATGTTATGGATATGAAATCTATAGGCTTATGCAAGAAGGTAAGTCCGATCATATTTTCATCCTTGTATAATTTTTGTTCCAGCTGTAATATCTGAATTAAATATACAAAAATCATTGGCATCTTACATGATCAAGTTTTAAAGAAGATTTGCATGACAAAAGGTAATCAGATCTGCAGTGGCAGATGAACAAAATGGGTTCCATCTTTAAATTAAGTAACAACATCAATATCAAATATTGACTGTCCTAAATTTTTAACTTTTAAGCATAATTTTAGGTGAGTTTATTAGTATTCAAAATGGACAGTTTGTCTCAAAAAAATATCTTTTGTTAGACATAAAAGTTTTGTTATCAATTTCTGTTTATTTGATAAATTTTAAGATAACTCTTATCTTTCTTTCAGTGTTCTTGTTGAAATTAAGAAATCCTTCAAACTAGAAGGTAAAAATCCAAATTTTTTGTTGAAATGCTCTAAATTTCTTGCAGACTTTTGGCACTCCATAAAAGAAGAAATGATTAAACTAATTGAGGAAAAAAATTATTTCAAAAACCATAGAGGATAAGCTAAAACTCTAGATTTGTTGTTGAAATGCTCAAGATTTCTTCTTGATTTTTCACACTCTACAAAAGAAGAAATGATGAAAGTAATGGAGGAGAAAAATCATTTCAAGAACCAGAGATGGATTCTACGCTTCAAGTTTCTATTGTTTGTAATCTTATTGGAGAACTTTCATTTCAAGAATCATAGATGGATGTCATGGAAGAGTTAGTGGGTGTGGTAACTTAAAAACACAGAAATTGCAAAATGATCTCTAACTTTTCCATAACATCCATATATGGTTCTTGAATTGATTCAAAGTAGGGGTGAAATGTGGGAAGAAAGGAAGAGAAAATGAAGGTTAAAGGGCTTCTGGAATGTTGTTTAATAAAATGCCCCAAAGAGATGAGATGAATTGAAAAAATAGGAAGAATTCGATGCTTTTAAATGTCATTTTGTTTGATAAAAGTTGTTAGAAGTTATTGAAATATTGCATGCAAAAGTTATTGTAAATTGTTGAAATATTAAATACAAAATTGTTGAAATATTGAATGGATATAAAGATAGCAAAGCATTTCAATATCTTGAGTTTTTTGTTTTCTTATGTCAATTATCTTGAATTAATCAAAATAGACTTGAACATAACAAGTGATATAAGAGTTAATGCAAAGGTTTTTTTTGTAAACAAGTTATATCATCTTTGCACTGATTTTCAATATATATCTTATACAAATAATTGTATCAGGTCTCTTGTGCATATAAAGACAATTATTTTCTCTAAATCTTTGTGCACATGAGAACCGCAAGCTTTATAAAATTAAGCTTACAAAAGAATCTAGACCACTACCAATGGGTCCAATATCAAAGTCAAGTGTCTATTGTTAATTTTCAGATAATGGCTAACAAAAAAAGATAAAAAGTTACAAAGCATCCATTCTTAATTTACCATCCCGCCATCCATCCAAATAACACAAAAACATTAGAACATTGTATGAGAATAACATTCACATATCAATAACATGAGAGACACTTGTTTATGTTTATGTCCCCTTAGCACTATCAGAATTCATTACCGAGGTAGAGACAACAAAGGCAATAGGGGCAGTAGAGGCAATAGGGGTAGCAAGTCTAGCAAAGGGAGGCCTTCTTGCACCACGATAAGTAGGGATAGATCTAGCACCACCATAAGCACCACGACCAAGTCTTGAAGCAACAACAACAATAGTAATAGGTCTTCTTTGCACACTACCAGGTCCTCTTAAAGTTCTTAATGCAACAGCTTTTAATGAGGACCTAGTAGGAGCTTTTGATGAAGACCTAAGTAAGGTATTTTATTATAATTTAAAACATAATGTATTAGATGCATTAAATTGCATATTTAATGTAAAATACTAAATTGCATGATTAATATAGATTACCTTTCTATTAAGTTGCACGATAATTTTAAGATAAGTCTTTCTATTATGACCAAATGAGGAACATAAAGTGCATCTAACAGTGCTATTCCTTCTAGCATTGTCATGTTCAATTGGCCCTTCCTCGAGTTTCTTTCTTCTGTCTTTTTTGGGCTTACCAAGCATATGACGGAGTAGTGAAGGCTCCACTGGATCTATCTTCCCTTTGAACTCAGCCATGGTGATGTCAGGTATGGGGTGAATGAACTCATTGTTTACCAACATGAACTTTTCCTTAGAGTTGTAGTTACCAATATTACTCTAAATTACCCCTGATGTGACCTATTCAAGCTGTTGCATGATTGCAAGGAATACCTACAATGTAATCAAACACAAGTTAATAAACCCTAAAATACACAACCAATAAGTGTATACATCAAATATGTTGAGACACCTTTACTTGCAATATTCCAAACGCCACATGGACAAGTTACCCACTCATCCCCAAGTTGACAACATATGTCTTGGCACCTTGAAATATAATAAACTCAAGTATGTACAACCTTACAAAACTTGTCACTGTACTTGGTAGAAACCAACTTCTTAATTTTAGGTGTCATTTGCCCCTCCCATAAGCAAGCCTTCTTATACTGATCCTAAAACCTCTTCATTATCTTGACTTTGATTTCTTCTAACAAAACCTAAATGAGTTTACTCCTCACAAGCCTAATCTAGTGGTTAAAACTCTCAGCCATGTTGTTAGTCACATGATCACTCTTGACGCTTAGGGTCAAAGGTGTGTCTTGCCCACAATGTGAGTGGTTTTTTCATCAACCAATTGTTTGCCTCTACATTTTCAACTTTAATCTTCATCATGGCTTCATTCTAATCCCACTGGTTGTATGCTTTTACAGCTTTCTTGAGGTTCAACTTCATGTTTAATCCCTAAAACCTTTGTCTAAAATTGTTATAAAAGAGCTTAGAACACTTTCTTTGAGTGGCATAGAGCACAATTTCTGTGATTATATCATTTAGGTCTGGCTATATAAGAATAAGTAACAGTTAATAAGTAATAGAAATTAACTAATTAAATGTAAAATAGTAGAAGTTTAAGGGTTACCTTTTACCCATCATTCATCATTGCTAATAGTTTATTGAAGTCTCCAATGACAGTATTAACTAAATTCAAAAACTAAGACCATGAGTCTGCCATAGTAACAATAGTTAGGAACAGATGACAATTCCCATAAATAGTAAGAGCAAACAGTAAAGCCCCTCCATATGGCTCTTTGAGATGGTAGCCCTTAACCGCAAAGAAAAGTCTACACCTCTTGCTGAAATCTTTCCTTATAGCATTAAAAGACAAGAAAAACCTTTTAAAAGTTGAGTGTATGCTCTACCCAGCCCTCCATAACTGTATGATGGCTATACTTTCAAGATTTGTATCTTCACCATCTAAGCATACAGGTGCGTGACAGAGATTTACCCCAAGTGGCCAAGTGCTTGATAGAGGTTTACATTAATAAATCGTTTTATATAGGGAAATATCTTGCATCCGCAATTAAGCAGCCCAGATTACTTAATTCACGTAACTCTTCCGACTTACCAATTGCTAAACCCTTAGTATATCATAATAATATACTCTAATAATACAATTTCGTCCATATCAATTTGAACATGAAAACATTGCGTCTATAATAAAAGAATTTTTAAGCACAAATCATGATGTTTATTAATCCGAGAAAGCAAAAAAGAGGACATCCCACCGCGTGATTTGTCGTTTTTGATCTTAGTACAAAAATGGAACACCCTGCTTAATTGTTTACTACAAATCGTAACTAGAAACAAAATCGCTACAGTTTGTTCTTTTCCCGTGAAAAATCATTAAGGTGGCATTTGGTACTTTACAATGCAATGTGATTACAGGTAATGTGATTGCAGAGAAGATACATTACAGTGTTTGGTGTATAAGTAATGTAATGATTAAAATGCAGAGAAGATAACATTGCAGTGTTTGTTTTATAAGTACTTTACAGGGAATGGAATGTTAATTTCCAAAACTACCATTATATATTAAAATATAAGTTTAACATGTATTTTTTAGGGTAAATTCTACAGTAAAGTTATTATTTAATAAAAATCATTTTATAAAATTAAATACAAGTTCAATCGATTAATAAGAAAATAAAATTAAAAAAAATTAAAGAGTGAATAGAGATTTTCTAAGCATGCATTCTTTAATTCGGGAAGGGATTAGGAAAGTAAAGCCATCCAAAAGCAGAAACAACCCATAGTCTTTGATGGGCCCTTTTGTAGTTTGTCTTGATTTGATCAACATAGATTTGAAAAAAAAAAAGAGTTGAACATGCGAAGGATGTTGTGCGGCCTAGTGGCAAGGACAATGAACAGAAGTG